CGACATCTGTGATTGTTGTTTGCCATCCCCTCTCTTTGATGATCCCGGTTCAATTATACTCTTGACAAGAAATACAAAACCCAACTTTGTTTTTTGTAAGTTGTAGCCTTCAACCAAAGAGACGAAAAACATAAATAATTAGCAGAAATCGAAAGTATCAGATCTAAGTGAGTATTTCAAGCTTTGCTTTCATTTGTTGACCCATCACTCTATTTCACTACGAACGAAGATAGTTTGATGCATTAAATAAATATATCACTGAGGAGATCTGCGGAAGGACGACAAAAACCAAGGTCGCGTTTGCCGGAGAAAAGGACCAATAACCGTCAGAGAAGCGAACCAATAACTATCGAAGGTTTCTGATGGAGGAGCAGCAAGAGAGAGAGAGAGAGAGAGCGTCTTTCAAGGGGTATAATATGTCTTTTGAGTGTTTGAATGGAGACAAGAGAGATAAGCAGGCTCAACGAATAAGCCATTTTTTTTTTAATAAATCTCATCAGAACTCAAAGTGAACACATTGTGAAAACTTTCTTAGAAATATCATTCTAGTTTATGAACACACCATAAATCTATGATGATATAGTTTGTGAACATATTATAAACATACAACTTGTGAACACAATGTGAATCTTGTGACCATTCTATTAATAAAATTTATTAAGATTGTTTACAATGCGTTCACCATGTGCTCACCTTGGTTGCATGATATGTATGTTAATGCATATATAGTAGAGAAAAGATGAGAGAGAGAGAAAGATATAAGTTAGAAATTTCCTAAATAAGAATGTATTAATTTTTATTTAATAAATAACAATAATTATATCTTTAATTATCTCATTAGTTAGTAATATTAATTATTTTAAATCAGTGTTTTATGATCGTATTTGATAGTTCTTAAAAATGATTGAACTCATATTTAAAGTTGTATAAACTTAATTAATAAAATATCAATATTACCATTAAAATAGGAATAAGAAGCAAAATTATTAATTAATTTTTATATGTAATTTAGATTAAAAGTTTTCAAAAAATTTATATTTTAAAACGACCCATTAATCAATTAAATTTATATTTTTAAAAAAACTGATTTTTTTTATTAACCTAGATATCCAACCTGCTATGCGAGCTGATTAATCTCAGAACGACCACCTAAAGAAAGTGATTCATTGACACTGTGTTCATCAAACTTTTTTATATGAAGAAAAAGAAACGAAATAAGAGAGAAAAAGAAAAGTAAAAAAAACTCGTGTTTTTAAATTTTTTAAAAGAAAATAATAGTAAATTTCCTTCCAAATATAAAAGGAAAGAAAAAAGAAATAAATAAATAAAACTAAAATATTTTAAAATTTTATTAAAGTTATAAAACTACTCATTTTTTTTATTCCAAAAGATATATTTTTAATAGTATATTAACAAAAATGATAATTTTCCTTTTTGGTTTAATAATAAATTTTTATAAAAATAATAATTAAATATTTTGTTATAAGTGTAATTTAATGATTATCTTAATTATATTTTAGATTTTTTATATTTAAAACGAAATGTTTATTCTGTTATAAATTATGTTTATCTGCAGTTAGTTACATGAATTCAAACATGAAACTTTAATAAGTTGTAATTACGCACAGTTTACTTGGAATCTCAAATTTTAAGTAATATGCATCAATAAACAGTACTTTATGCATAAAAAAAAGGTTTTAAGAGTATTTATCAAATGTTTTATAATACAGTATAAATTTGTTAATAATTAAACTAGATGATATTCGCACAATGTGTATCTCGATTTTAGTGTTTCGTTTCTTTGTCTTAGTCGATATTATAATACGGTTTTATGTGGTTTTGAGAAAACGATAATGTTTTTATTTTTGAATAAAATATAAATATGAAGATATTATAAAAAAAATTGATATTAGTACTAAACTAACTATTCAAAATTTCTCGTTTTTTGATGTATTTCTTTAATTCATTTTTTTTAAAATTTTTAGTTTAATAATATAATTTTTATAAATATAATAATTAAGTATTTTGTTAGAACTCAATAATTATCCTAATTATATTTTAAAATTTTTATATTTAAAATGAGATGTTTATCTTGTAGTAGTTTATGTTTATCTGCAGTTAGTTATACGAATTCAAACATGAAGTTTTAATAAGTTGTAATCTCGAATTTTGAGTAATATGCATCAATAAACAGTACTTTATCTATACTATATTATAAAGCATTTGGCTAAAACTCTTAAAAACTCTTAAACTCTTAAAACTCTTAAACTCGTTCATCCGTAAACAATTTCATCCCTATCCGATTTCATCCAATAACTGAATTTGTGTAACTAACTGCAGATAAATACAATCAAATACAGGATAAACATCTCATTTTAAATATAAAAAATCTAAAATATAATTAGGATAATCATTGAGTTCTCAAAACCTCATAAAACCAATGTTTACTTAAAATTCAAGATTACAAGTAAATTATGCAAAAGTACAACTTATCAAAGCTCGATTTTTGAATTCGTATAACTAATTGCAGATAAATATAATCACATAGAGGATAAACATCTTATTTTAAAATATAAAAATCTAAAATATAATTAGGATAATTATCGAGTTCTAAAAAAATAATTAATTATTATCTTTATAAGAAAAATATATTATTAAACCAAATATAAATTAATTCGTTATTGTACCTAAATTAAATTATAATAAAAAATTAAATTAAAATATTACACAAAAAATGAGAAATTTTAAATAGTTAATTTGATACGAATATCGATATATTTTTGTTATGCATAAAATACTCTATATTGATGCATATTACTTAAAATTCAAGATTACAAGTAATTATGCATAAGTACAACTTATTAAAGCTCGATGTTTGAATTCGTATAAATAATTGCGGATAAACATAATCAAATAGAGGATGAACATCTCATTTTAAAATATAAAAAATCTAAAATATAATTAGAATAATTATCGAATTCCAACAAAATAAATAATTATTATCTTTATAAAAAATTATATATTAAACCAAATATAAATTACTTCGTTATTGTACATAAATTAAATTATAAAAAAATTGGATTAAAAAATTACACAAAAAGTTGAGGAATTGCAAATAGTTAATTTGATACTAATATCGATATATTTTTGTCAAATTTTTATGATATCGTCAAACATATATTTCATTCGAAAATAAAAACATCGTCGCTTTCTCAAAATCACATAAAGCCATATCATAACATCGACTGAGATAAAGAATAAAATGAAATATTAAAAACACGATGTATCTCGCTGCATTGCGCGAGTACGCTTCTAGTACATAAAAAATGATTTTTAAGAGTTTTTATCAAATACTTTATAATATAGTATAGATAAAGAGAAATATCTTCTTAGTTTAATAATATAAATTTAAAATGATGATTTAAACTCAATGCGTGTAGATTGAGATGGATAAACCTCAATAAACACGTGATAGAGTTTTGACACATTCTTGGTAGATATCACACCCAACTGAGGCCTCCATTTACATCGATCCTTTTCTTCCCCACCAACCATTCTTAAAGTTTTTTAATCCATTTTTTCCAAAATATATGGATATATTTATCGTCTTATGAAACATTTACACGTGTTTAAAATGTAACGACCATCCTATAGTGATTAAAAGAAAGCAAATTTATAGGCTTTTTATAAGTTTAAAGTTGTAAGTTACCAACAACTTTCATCATGGTCTTACGTTGAATTTAAGGTAATTGGGTCAACTGAAATTGGTTGGGACGGTACAAATGGATATCAAAGTGGATTCTTGTACCGTCGAGACGATGGGTCAAACCTCATCGCACATGATACATTCTAGAGGTAGGTGTTTGTAACATCGTAGAAGAATCTCATAAAACCAGTTATAAGGAGAAAGATTCTGAACAGACCTGACGAGAATGTCATGTGTTTAAATGCGAGAGTTTATAAGAAAAGTGAACTTTTTAGCTTCTTAAAACTCAGTTCTAGCTACCAATAATTTTCATTATTATTTTTAATAAATCCGAAATTATTGGGTCCTACAAAAACAATTAAATTGCTTTTTCTTTATTACTTTATTTATATACTATATTATAAGGCATTTGCCAAAAAAAATTTAAAACCATTTTTTATACATGAAGTACTGCTTATTGATTCATATTACTTAAAATTCAAGATTACAAGTAAATTATACATGAAATACTGGTTATTGATTCATATTACTTAAAATTCAAGATTACAAGTAAATTATGCATAAGTACAATTGAATCGGTATAACTAACTGTAGATAAACATAATCAAATATAGGATAAGATTATTATTTTAAATATAAAACTAAAAAAATAATTAGGATAATTATTGAGTTTTAATAGGAAAACTTAGTTATTATCTTTATAAAAAATTAATTATTTCGTTGTTAAATCTAAATTAAATTATAGAATAAAAAATCAAATTAAAGAAATTACATAAAAAATAAGAACTTTTATATTTTTTAATTTTTATGATATCTTCAAATTTATATTTTATTAAGAAAAAACATTGTTATTTGCCAACATAAATAGAGACCAAAAAAATAATACGAAACAATGAAATCGAGATATATCGCACTGCATTGCATGATTACCCTTCTAGTTATAGAAAAGCAAATGGTTTTAATATACTTTTAGCATTATCATATGCAAATCTTACGAAATCCCGTGAAATTTCAACCATATTTTTTGAGATTACAAATCTTTAAGGGATTTCATATCCAAAAATCCTGCAAACCAAATATCAGATTGGAATCAAAATCTTTCCATTCCTACAAACCAAACGGACTTTGGTTTTCACACAAAGAGAATATTAAAAAAAAAAAAAATTGATACATATTCTATTTTTCACATGGAAAAGGGTTTTGACTCTCAACTAAAAAGTGGTAGCATAAACATGTGTAATACCAATAAGAATAAGAACGGAATATAAAACACATTCAACTGCATACCTTGAAAAAGATGGTTGGGATTCCATTGTATTAAGAAAGACCTACCATCCATAACTTGCACCTTATCTATTAAGACAACTACATCACTAATCAAAACCTAATTAAGCCTCAACAAAACCCAAAAGACTCCCCTCATCTTATTCTCTAACTCAACATTTGAATCCAAATCCCTCTCTCTCTCTCTCTCTCTCAACAAACAAATAAATATATCATCTTTTTATAAAAACCAACCATTTTCATGTTACCAAAAACTTTCTGATTCTACTAATTACTACTTAAGCTGCACAGCTCTGCTGGTTCATCCATCTTCAATGTGTTGATCCAGGCAAGTTCTTCATTGTTCAGCTCTCCAAAATCCCAATCTGGCAACTCGCCCGCGTCTTTATCGTCAAATCCGCAGAGCTGAAAATCATCAAGATTGCCAAACCCTTCCAACGGTGCAACAAAGTCATCAAGAAACGGTGCACCCACATCCAACCCCAGGTCCAAATCGTTGCCGATTTCAGCCAATGTCAAAGCTTCATCGTCTAGTTCACCAAACCCCACATTAGGCAACAGATCAATCGAATCTTCGTCAATGACAGAAGCACAAGCATCCATCTTTTTGTCATCGCTGATGAAGATTTTGGTTATGGAGGATGATTCCATTTCGAGAACCGAAGATGGCGATGTGTGTGCGATTACACCCACAGATTCTTCAGAAACGGCTTGTTTTTCATGATCAGAAACGATAACCAATGAAGAAGAATTGTTGTCTTTGTTGTTGTTTTGGATCTTGAGATTGTTAGAACAACTCTTTAAAGCTCCAGCCATTGTTTCAAACTCAAGCTTCTTGATTTCATAAGCTCTAGAAGCTTCCTCTGCAGTATTGTAAGTTCCTAGCCAAACCCGCCTCCCTTTGAACGGATCACGAATCTCCGCCGCCCATTTGCCCCACTTCCGTTGCCGGACACCTCTGTATTTCAAACCAGACGACAATTGGGGTTGACTTGGGGATTTAGTCAAAACCCTTTTCCTTTTCACTAAATTCTTCTCCCCATGGTTGCTATCTTGACAAGAATCCTCAGTCCCAAGAGTCTTTTCTTCGGCAACACAATCAGCACCCACCACGGGAATCTTGATTTCCCGAACAATCGCCTTACGCCCATACGGTTTCCCTGTGGGCTCATCATCATCATCAGACGAATCAGTCAAATCCGGATCATGACATATGATCCGAATGGTTCTCATCGGATCGATTTGTTCGATTACCTTCCCCCTCCTCTTGGGTTTCTTGTTGCAAAGATTCTCCCTATTCACCGGTAATTGCTTCCGGCCGTCTGGCATTTTCTCAAACCCCCACCAAAAAAACTAAAAAAAGAAAGAAAAAGAAAACCAAAAAAATATCTATCGAAACCCTAATGAAAAGATTGGCCTGTGATAATGTAAACAGGCCGTCTCAAGAACAAGAAAAGACTGGAAAACCCCTGTATGTGAAAAGCACCAAAACACTCCACTCCAGAACAAGTCCTGCACAAAACAAACAGAGATATCAAAGATCTGACAGATATACATACAAAAGTTGTATGTATTACAAACAAGAATTGAAGGATTTGGTGTACCGTTTTGGCCTCAAACGCATCGAAACTGTTGGCAAACGTAAGTGAAACCTCTGCTGACTGAAACAGCAGAGAGGAGAATAGCACCAGATTAACAAAGCAAAAGTAATCCAGAGCTTCAACGGAGCCCCAATCTCAGCCAATGAACTTGCCGACATAAAATCAGCTCTTCTTCGCTTTTTTCTCGCCTAAAACAACTCACCTATCTAAAACCCTTTTTCAACTACAAACACAGTAAAATTCAGATCAGATAAACAATAAAGTTCAAATTTTTCGGAACCCCATAAAATTCCCTCAATCCTGTAAACAGAACCGATCAAGAATCGACGACGTATTCGAAATTCAGAGGAAAAACACGTTTAAAATCAAAGCGATTTGCAGTCAATTACAACAATGGAGTAACATAAAACACGATTACAATTCAACCAACTACTTTCCCCTAAAAAAAGGGACAAAAAAAAGCTTCAAATTGAAACGAAATCGCAAAACCCAAATCGAAACAAAAGGAATTGATCAAAGCGAATGGCGTACCTGTGGGTGATTGTATCTCCCTCTCTGAAAACCCAGCCCCAAGTTGTAATGATTTTTTTTTCTCTCAGGACTCGGTTCTTTCACTGTTAATGACTCCGTTTTTCAAGCGGTCAAAACACAAATATGGGGTGGGTATATATAATGCCTTTTAATTATTCATAATTAAATGAAAATAAGGGAAAGTAAATAATGTTTCAAGTAATTAAAATATTTGTTAATTCACTGACGAATACTATTTGGGGTATGAATGTATGATGAGCTGTCATGGCCATCCATCATGCATGACCATACCATCCCATTCGTCATGCATATCATGCCACATTTTTGGCCCAGATATTCTTTAGCTGACTCGTCAAGCTAGACGCGTGTTACCACGCTCCCTTTGGTCTCCTATGGCGCGACAATTTCGATGAAACTCTACTTACTACTGGACCGTAGGAGTACACGCGCTGAGGGTGAGAAAGGGTAAATGGTTTGTGCGTTTCTTTAGTTTTTTGTTGAGGAGGTTAGAGGTAACGCCGCGAACCGGGAACGTAGATGACAGCTAATAGATATTTGGTCGTTTTTGGGTTTGACAATTGGGTGAAATTACCAAAATACCACGATAATATATTGATTCCCGTAAATGCCCCTGTGAGAAGGGAAAATATTCCTTTTCTAGGAGGAATTTGTTTCGATTAATATTTTGCCTTTATTGTGAGGGGAATAAATATTTTTCTTTTCTCGTAATTTTAATTTAATTATTACCTAAGATTTATTCATATCTTGGTTGGAGTATTTAATTGCCTACCATTAATGAATGATTTTCTTTATTTGTATGGTATTTTACCTCCAAATTATATTCATGGCAAAATATTTACTTTTTTGTTTTAAATAAACATATATAATACTCCTAAATAATAATTTCACACCTTCGACTTATTACCAAGGATAAATAAAATAAGGATCAGTTCAAGGGATGAGAATATGATTGTTTAAAAAGCCGTTGGTTTTAAGTTCGAGACCTATCCCCACTCATATGTCGTGTCACCGGGTGAATTTAAGATACTTGCACTGGATTCTTTGGGGGTTGGGTGCCGTGTGGAACCGGTTAGGATTGAATTATGGTATTATGATACTGTTAGGCATGGGCGTTCCAATCTTTTTGGAAGTCCTGTTACATCTAAAACTTTTGATGGCATTGTATAAGAGATAACAACATACATATATGTTGACCACAAAAGGACACTAATCCTAAATTATCAACAATCTGAACCAAACTTAAACTAAACCATTAATAATTTATATTTAAACCTAACCAATTTGAACTACAGCTTTACATAAATTGATGAAAATGTCCTAAACATATATAAAATTAGGCCCCAAAATTTTGGATATCATGTTCAAAATCTCACATTTATCATGCTAAGAAGCGGTCCTGCTGTTGGGGGCAGATTCAAGGCTTGGAATATGGTATATTGTGAAACCAGTTTTTTTTTTTTTTTTTTTGGGATCGGGTATAATTTATTTATGGTCGTTAAATTTGAAACTAAAAATTTTTCTAGGTGAAACCATAAATATCAAAGGTTGGCATTAAATTCTACAATTCTTTTGAGATTAATCGGTTGATATTATGATATTTGTTTTGGTTAGTTTAAACTTAACTTGTTTATATTTTGGATTAACTTTTTTTTATGATAAACTAAATCGAAAAAAAGTATACTGACATGTATAAACCTTAAAATTCAAGTTTGGTGTCCATTGAAGGAGCTAATAAAATGTATGGGACAACCTTCATCTCCTACATTTATAAGCACATACCAATTTAATCTAACATTGTGTTCTCAAATTCCAATTTTTATTATTACAATTGAAGGATTAGGGGTTGTTCGGTTCGTTTTCTATTAAGACATGTATGGATAAAACTTTATGTATTGATAAAGTTGTAGTTCGGTTGTTGTATTGAACAAACGGTATGCATGCCAGAATTGACCATTTTACCCCCAGTCTATATTTGTGTCCAAATAAAACAACTTTATCATAATCGACAGACTACAGCTACTGTTTGACCACAAGTATGTCCTTCCTTTGTTTGATCATGGATTCTTAAAATCTCCAATTTTCTTTTCCTAGTTACATCCTCTCTGACTTCGTTGTCCAAATCCAAAGGCTTGTTCTCTTTTACTTTCCATATTTGAAAACCAAATATATTTGTGGGCTCTAAATTACTTTCATGTTCCAATTTGAATTCATATCCATCCATTACCATCTTCTTGTTTTTGGCAATATGCACCCTCTGTTTCTATGTTCCAAGATTTATTGATTTGAATCCTCTAGATCAAATGTTCCCGAAATTGATAACACTTTCAAACCACCTCTAACAACAACAAGCAAATCAGATATACCCAGTTGTTGATTCAAATTAAACCTGAACCAAAAAACCCCTAAAATCGATGAACCCTAAATAAAAAAACAGATTCAATATTTTAAAATAATTAATATTTTTTCAAAAAAAATATATTTAATAATCAAATTAAATATTTTAATCAAATTAGTTAGTACATTTTTGACAACATAAGTATAAATTTAATTTTT